AACAATGCTCAAGCACAGAACTTGTGATTTTTCAATATTTCACAGAAGTTCAAAAGAATTTCATATCGACTGTGTTTGACTCAGACATTTTTCTGCAGAAACGTCAACAAATGAGAACTGACCATCAGGCTTCAGATGTCAAACAAGCACCACACTTCCCAAGGTAAAAAGATAAAGGTGCAATTACTGTTTACAACTAACTGAAAGCAACTAAAGAGCAATGGGCACTCACTTGGTTGGCATATGTAGCCAGAGCCAGAAACTGTGCACACACTCCCACTGGAACAAGGATTGCTGTTACATGGATTGACTGTGTACAAAATGGGGAAGGAATAGTGCATCAAAACAATCTCATTATAAAGAAAAATATGTCCCGTCCATACAGAGCAGAGTTTAAAAAAAAGACAAAGAGTGATTACAAGGCAAACCAAAAACAATACACAAAAAACCCAATCCAACCTAACCCACAGGCATGCAACTTGGACTTTGACAAAAAATCCAACTCAAATTAAAAGCAAAACCTCATTAAAAAAAAACCCAAAAATTCCCCAAGCTTTCAACGACAATCAAAGGGATTAGTTGTAGGACAGACACCTGCAAATGTATTTAATTGAAATGCATGTACGGAAGTTGGTACAAAATATGACAAAACCACATGCTGGAATAGGAAAGCAAACTGGAGCAGTTAGAAATTGACTCTTGCCGATATGAATATACATAACACATAACCCTGTTTAACTTTGGATATCTCAAAGAGTACAGATGATTCATATAATATAGTGAACCACCAAGAGATTGCAACAGGAAGGCCATTTTTCTATTTAACAATTGACAAAAACATGGCTGACTTGTTGCATTTAAGAGATGTCATTAGATAACCTGGGTAAATTTTTGATTGATCCGGGCATTCTTTGCCTAAAAAAAATTATACCCTCTTGATTAACACTCACTATCAAGCTGCAGATGTGAAACAAGCACCGCAGTTCCAAATGTAAAAAGATGAATGTACAGACAAATAGTGCAAGTCAGTTTTATAACTAACTGAAAGCAAGGAAAGAGCAATGGGTACTCACTTGGTTGGCATATGTAGCCAGAGCCAGAAACTGTGCACGCACTCCCACTGGAACAAGGATTGCTGCTACATGGATTGACTGTGTACAAAATGGGGCGGGATTGGTCGATCAAAAACAATC